TGAATCATGTTTAAACAATTAAGGTAATCCACCTCGGTCAAACGGCCGATTTTGGCTAAAATTGTCAATTTTTTTTTTTATTTAACATTTTTAAAAGTCAGATTCTTAGCTATCAAAAGCAACTTTTCTTTGGTTGATATGTTGATTAGAAGTGGAGATATACCAGTTTTTCTGATAGACGAACAAACCGGAAGTTATTGTCCGCAACACCGAAGTCAGTGTTTAAAGGGCTTAATTTGGCATACAGAGTTTGTACATTATTACGTATGATATAGAGTAGGAGTTAAAGAATTAGCCTTATTGAATTTAAATTATGTTATTTTTCCTTCATTCAGTGTATGATTTTTTTAAAACCTTTTTTGAGTGTTTAACATATTCGACCTATATTAGTAATGAATCAATATTTCCCAGTTATTCTACTTCACTGTATGTTTATATGGTCGGCACATATTACATAAAGTCAAAAATACATTTTTATCATCATTATTTTCTTATCAGTGATGACTAATGTTTTTGTTAGTTTGGATCTAAAATTTTCCGTTTTTTGCATAAATTTCACAAAATAATGAATTTTTTATCGCTTTTGTATTGATTGTATTTAAGTGCGAGCGCACTTCAGTAAAAATCTTCATAAATTCAGAAATATAACAAACATTTTGAAAAAAGCCCATCGAACGAGGTCGGTTACCTTAAAATTAATCTGAATTATGCTTAAATTTAATTTGAATTATGCCCAACACATTTCTTCCGTAAAAGGTAAGCGATTTTGCCGTACGCGTGACGTATTAATTACGTAAACTCCGCATTCGACAGGGGTTTACTGTATTGCATTTTTCCGTGAAGTAAAGAAATACCCATTTTGAAACACAGCTGGAAAGTTTTGCAAAAAGTTTCGCTATCAATTATAGCTCACTATCCAAAATAAATGCGGTGCTGACTGATTTTTATGACAAGTCGAATACTGAAGTTATTAGTAGAAAACGATTTTATGCTTTTTGTTAATGCTTATTTATGATGATGGATAACAATTTATTTTCTTAAACCGTTGTGAGCATTAGCTGGATAAATCATTAGGCCTCTGCACAGATGTTCCTGCGAGTTCATTTTTAATGCTTTCTGCCCTAAACATTAACGATTCTGCTACACTTAAATGCAGCTAAAACTATGAGACAAAAAGATTGCTTGCCTTACTTTTCTTTTCCACCGACATTCATTGGGCCCTTCACTGGGTTTAGTCAGCTTTTCGGCCAAAAGCTCTTTTATGGGAACTGTTTAATAAGGCTTGTCCTTGCGATGCAAACCAAATATCCGCACCTGTTTAAGACACATAAAACTGTTGATGCATTAAATAGATAAGAAGGAAATTTATGTAATAAGAAATTTAGCAGGACAGGCAATATGTTCAGACAACTCAATTCTGTGCATCACATTATGTGCATGTACGCAAAGAAACAAAATAGTTAATGCATAAATATAGGTACCCTTATTATAAAGATACTAAGACTATTATAAAGGCACAAACTGTAGCATTAGCACTGATGAAATGCAGACATGATAATATTTAAATTAATATTTCCGTATGAATACATTTAAAGATAAAGCATACACACACTACTATAAAGATAGCAAAACTATTTTAAAGCATTCATTGTATAAGCTGTATTATAAAGATACAAATTGTAGCAGAATACAAAGGTGATAAAAACTGGACGTGGTAGTACTTACATATACATTTCCATATGAATACAGTTAAAAGAAAGGAATAAAATTACCTATAAATTAATAAATTTGAGTAGCAGAACAATGCATTAGTATAACATTAACATCAGAAGTTTATTTGGAGAGATAAATCCTACAACAAAGCTATACGTTATTTTTGTAACTGCAGAAATGTTAATAATTTATGCAATAAGTAATACAGGGATAAAAGAATACAGTATAATAACACCACATGAACAGAAAGAAATACATCATAAAATACAAATCTATATTAGTGACTCTCTTTTTTGGGGAGGGGGGAGGGAAGCAGCAACGAATAACTCCAGGCTGTGAACTATATTCTTAGCAATGGCTGTACAATATCATTTGCTAACTAAGCGCTTATTTTTTTTTTTTTTTTTTTTTTTTTTTTTTTTGTTCGTGTTCCTCAGCCATGCTTGTTGGTGAATCATGAAGGATCTTCTCAAATGATAATGTCTGGTATACATGTAGATTACATATAGTATAACAAATAGTTATTCAGCATCGCCGATGCTACCGTGGATGCAAAGATGAAGGCAAATTTCTGAAGGTGAAACGAATGTTTTCTTATCAGCCAAATTTCCATATTAATTTCTAGCATATCATCATGTCATCATGGCAGATTATTATATTTTCTCCTGAAACCAGAGAAAGTAACTATGTCCTTACCGGGATTCGAAACTCGAGCCTCTCGGTTGATAACCACCTACACATGAAAGAACGGAAGACATCCGTTGACGGACATTCTGAGGGTATTTATTCTCAATTTTTCTAATGATCTTGCTTTTCCGAAATTCACATAAGAAAGTATGCATATTCTTTAATTTTAATTATGTTCTGCATTTTTAAGAGTTATTTATTGAACGATATTTAGGAATAATATTGGTATCAGGGTTAGATTGGCAGTTCCTTTATTACTTCTACCTGATCTGTTCTCATACTTTTGTTAATTTTCTTTCAGGTACTATCTAGAGAAAATATTTATACCTAGGGGGAATATATCTATTTATATGAGAAAATATTTATACCTAGGGGGAATAATCTATTTATATCTAGAGAAGACAATTTTAAAGAATTAACTATACCTAAAATATCTTGTAAATTCTAAACAACACGTATTTTATATAAATAGATGTTAAATTATTTACATAATTATTAATAAACTCAAAATTTTTCAACGATTACAGATCTAAAATTTTTCTAGAATTAATTTCTTTTCGTGCTTATAATAATATTCCTTGAAATCGAAGAAGAAACATTAAGATTTTAATTCAAAAAGGAAAACAAATTCCATTTCGTTCAACTAACAAGCATTCACTGTCATACTTGCGAACATACGACACTTTTTTAGATAAAGCTGGTCTAGTATACGAAGGCTACAAGCTTTTTTGTGTTTTCAGGAAATTCAAGAGCCACGCCAGCGCCAAAAGTACGTCAAACCTGGGCTGTTAACGTAAGTCACACCTGTTGTCAGAAAATATCATTGCTGTTCTTTAACAGCAAAGTGAAGAAAACAGATATTTAGGATTATAACGCAGCTGAAGAAACCTGTCGGAAAGAAAGGTACTTCCGGAAATGATGACACACTTGGAAAGGGCAGCTGACACTTCAATTATGGAAATAATGATGTTGTGCTGACTTCGGAATTTCATTGCGTGAAAGAGTTCAGCAGTCACATACAAAAACAAAACAAAAAAGTATTTTTCGGGGTTTCACTGCATCAAAATTATTTTATGACATTTTTGGATCTAACAGATCCCTCAGGATTCGAAGTCGATAGTTTATAACTATTTATCTAAAAATGAAATTTAATGGAAATTTCGAAGTTTAACGTTAAATTTTCGTATTCATGGCATTATTCCCTGTGACATCTAAAACGAAATTCGAAGAAAATAAATAATTGTTACATAGGGGTGTGTCATTAATAGCTTCTTGATTTAAATAATGATTAACCTTTCGCTCGTATTGTAAGTTTTCATTTCCCATAATTGTACAGCCAACGTTAAGTTGATAGAAAGGTTCAAGCGTAGGACAAAATGTTTTCCAATTTTACTTTGAAAATCGCCATAATTTTGGCATAAAGAATAAATAATTACTTAAATGTTGGAAACGCGCTTAAATTTGCTGGAATTTACCAATTGGTTTAACATTTTCAGAGTCAATCAATAGTTGTCTGCAGGAAAGTTTTCGCCAATCGCGAAATTTCCCGATTTTTTAATTTTCACTTATAGAGTCATTAGGATTTTTTGAAAGCAGGATATGTAAAAAATGAGAAACGCCCTCGTCGGGAATCGAACCACGGACCTCTGAAATACGCGCCCAGCGTTCAGAACACTACACTACGAAGGCATGCAAGAAAACGGGAGAAATACCTTATATACTCCCACTTTTAAAGGGCGACTGGGGTTTTTAAGGGACCCAATCGCCAAATCCTGGGTGTGGAGAATCATCATCCACGTCCCTTTTAGTTCGGGTGCCACTGTAGAGACATTAGGTATTTTTTGGAAGGAGTCATGAAAAATGAGCAAAGCCCTCGCCGAGAATCGAACCACGGACCTTTGGAATACGCTCCCAGCGTGCAGACGACTACACTACGAAGGCATGCTAAGAAACGAGAGAAATACCTTATAAATTGAACATTACGATAGTGAGGTTTGCTGTTTATAGATTTGTTTTTCCCTGAAGCTTTTTAAAATTTATACAAATAACACAAGAGTTTCAAGTTAAAATTTGGCGAGCAGTTCAAGAATAAGGACCTGATATTCTAATATAGAATATCAGTTATACAGAATTCCCAAGACAAAGCTTGTTAAACAGAGGTTAATGCTGGCCGCCATTTACCAAATAGTTTTTTTAAATAATAATGCAAATATGTTTCCATAACTTGTATATTTAATGTTAAGAATGGAAACAAAATAATAATATATAAAGAAAAAAATTTTATCCGTTATTTAAATTAATTAAACAGCAATGCGCAACGTATAGAACGTAATTTTTTTTAATTCGTCAGTTCTTGGTAATTGTTATTTATTAGTTCGATTTCAAAATTTTAGGATGAAATAAGCTTTATGCCTCCATTTCTTCCTTTTTTTATCTTCTGCTAACCATGTAAATGTTTTTATCAGCTTATTCTGAAAATAAATTTTTGAGAAGAAAGAAAGGCTAGAAGGATAATTTTTCGCTCTGTCCACTTTACACTTATTTGAGTTTTGAAGCTGTTATGTTATTCAAAGGATTTTAAGAGCAATTTTCTACTGCAGGTGGAAGAACTTCGCCAAAGGCTGGAAGAAAAAAACAAAATGATCGAGAAGAAAACGCAACAAACAATGGCCGCCACCCAAGATAGAAACCGTCTTTCGCAGGAAATGCAAGAATTGAGAGACCACATGGACATCAAAGACAGAAAAATCAATGTTCTGCAACGAAAGGTTCTATTACATAACTTTTTCTCTTCTCATTTTCATCATCCCTTTTTCCTTATACCCCGTTTATTTCATTATTTCCAAATAATTTTCTTGCCTATGCCTTATGCTGTATATGTTATAATTCAATGAAATGTATGACAAACAAATTACATGTAATATGCTACTCTTTTAAATTCTAAAATAATTTGTTTAGTAATAATGGAACCAACAAAATATCTTAAAAAATTGTTATTTCAATCTGTGCAACTGTATTATAGGGTGAGATGTTAACCCGTTAATTGCCAGTGTAAAGTTTTAACGGTTGATTATCTGCAATAACTTTTCTTTATATTAATAAAAAGCAGTTTGCAAAAAATTTTGCAATAATTAATACGTGATTTAATTTGCGTAAATAGTTCCAAAGGTTTTTGAGAGTTTAAAGCGTGGCACGTTTGCTACATTATTTCAAAATTGTTATATTTTGTATTTTTTTAAAGTTTACCATTTCTCTGGAAAACTTCTAATCTTTTTAGTAGTATCAATATTTTATAAATCGAGTTCCTCTGCAGTTAATTCTGCTCTTTGGGCTACATTTTTCTAAATTTCAATTGGAGACCATGAAAAACTGTTAAACATTTTAAAAGTTACATTTTTATTGTCCAAGCTATATATTAAATGTTATTACTTTTTTACTGAAAACCAGTAAAGTCTATTTTTGTTTTGACTTTTATCTGGCTACAAGCTACTTAAAATCTCTAAATATTTATTTATGTATTAATTATCAATATTCAACAAAAAAGTACTGGCATGCATTAACTATAATAGAAGCTAAAATATTTTGCTCTTCGAAATAAATAACGAGTAAACTAAACCATTTGTTTTGTTAAAATTTCAGCGATTAATCAACTTGTTACTTTAATTTTTATTATCGTTATGAGCTGACAACCAACTGTTTAATGAAAAATAAATTCCTAAGTTCTCAGGTGAAGAGTAATTATATCGACTCAAATAAATAAAATAAAGTTATAAAATAAAAAAACTGAAATACACTAAGTAGACCATAAACTAAAAAATTATGCGTCATAAAGAATGGCTAAAATAGGCTAAATGTTCTAATAAACGTCTTTTATTGAATCAGAAATCAAGGAAATTTCAGCATATTCTTACTTTTTTTCTGACTGTAGATTGAAAACCTCGAGGACTTGTTGAAGGAGAAAGATAATCAAGTTGATATGGCTAGGGCTCGCCTCACCGCCATGCAGGCTCACCACTCCTCCTCTGAAGGTGCTCTGTCAAGTCTCGAGGAAGCCATTACAGACAAAGACAAGCAGATCCAGCAACTGCGAGAACAGAGAGATAGAGCTGAGCAAGAACGCAACGAAGAACGGGAACTGCATGAGCGTGAGATCGCGGAATTCAAAATGAAAATGCACACCTTAGAAAGTGAAATGGAAAAGCTCCAGGTACGCTTGGAGAAAGCGGCAGCCGAAAAAGACAGAGTGGAAGCAAAATTGGAAAACTCCCAATCAGAACTTGGGCAAGCGAGAGCAGAGCTAGAGAAGATATTAGGAGAACAAAACAAATTCCAAAGCGAATGGGACAGACAGAGAAATGAAACTTCCTGGCATTCTATGGAGAATGAAAGACTGAGAGAACAACTTGAACGTATGAAATTGGAACTCGAAAAATCACAGAGCACAATTGGCAAATCCCATTTGTATCAGTCGGAAGAAGTGGTAAGGCTCCAAGAAAGGTATGAGAAGGCGCAGTCAGAGCTGAGAAGGGCTCAAGCTGAACTGAGGATGAATCAAGCAGAACAAGAACGGTCTAGAGGAGAACTCGAACAAATTCAAGAAAAGCTGGAGCGATCACAAGGTGAAATTTACCGTCTGAAAGCTAAATTAGAGAATGCTCAAGTGGAGAAAGAAAGTCTACAAGAAGAATATGATCGGGTGCAAGCTGCGGTTTCGCGTTGCCATTCTGAGAGAGATGCAGCACTCACTGAAGCAGAAAAGTTAAGGACTGAGCTCGAGCGAGTCCAAACGAATCTGAGCAAAGCTCAGCTGCAGCATGAGAAGACACAAGCTCTCTTGGATAAGGCGCAACTGGATGCAGATCGCATTCAAGAAAAGTTGGATAAATCCAACGCCGAAATCCGACGCATGCAATCAGAGAGAGAACGCGCCCAATGCGAGATCGAGAGTCTTCAAATGCAGCTGAATCAGGTTCAGAATCAGTACCAGCGACTCCAAAAAGACAAGGAAACATCGCATATTGAGATGGAGAAGTCACGAGAGAAGTGTGACCGTGCCCAGAGTCAGCTGCAACGCCTTCAAAAAGAAAAAGAAGTCTTCCATTCTGAATTAGAAAAATTACAAGAAAAAATCGACGTCCTACAAACGCAGCTGAACAAAGCACAGAAGGAGAAAGAAAATTCTCAAGCAGAATTCGAAGTTATACGGGAAAGGCTTGAAAAAACTCAAAATCAATTGGAAAAATACCATGTGGATTACGATACTTCACAAGCAGAGTTACGTGTTCTCCGTGAGAAACAAGAAAAAATGCAGCTGCAGCTTCAAAAGGCAGCTGAAGACAGAGAACTGTCGAGAGCAGAATACGAAAAACTTGTTGAAAAATTAGAAAGATCTCAAAGTGAGCATTACAAACTTCAAACTAAATATGAACAAGTACAAGCAGAGCTCGACAGAGTTACATTGGAAGTTGAAAAATCTCACATAATAGCCAATAAAACAAAAGAAGATGCCCGGAAATCATTGGAAGAGTTTGATACATTAAAAGAAATGTACGCCAGAAATTATTCCCAATTAACTAAAACAAAAGAGTCTGAAGAAAAAATGAGAGTTGAATTAGATCGCTGCCAAATGGAATTGGAAGTCATGAGAGACAGACACGAGAAAGCCCAGATTGAACTGAGAAGACTGCAGTCAGAGAGAGACAAATTACAAGCAGATGTTGACCACATGTCATTAGAAATGGAAAGAGTTCAAAATCAAGTTGGTAAAACACAAACTAGTCATGAGAAATCTCAGGAAGAGCTAGCTAGAATGCAAGTTGAACTGGAAAAAGTATACGAAAAATTAGATAAATCTCAAACAGAATTAAGACGAGCCCAGACAGAGAAAGACAGACTCCAATCTGAAAAAGAAAATGTTCAGTCAGAATTAGAACGATATCAGTCTCAAATGTCCAAATACCATTCGTCCCAAGAAAAATCTCAGGTTGAATTTGAACGACTGAGAATAGATCTCGAAAAAATAAAAGATAAGTATGAGAAGGCAATGGTAGAATTGGAAAAGACTAATCAACAGAAAGACATCTTAAACGGAGAACTACAGAAACTACGCGTTGAAATGGAGCAATTACGAATGGAGAAAGGTGTCACTATCCAGGAACGAGAGAAGCACAACGCAGAAGTAGAGAGGCTCCACATCGAAGTTGAAAAAGCTAAAGACAAATATGAAACGGCTATAGCCGAATTAAAGAAGTTACAAGAACTCAAACTGAAACAACAAGCTGATCCTGAAATTTTACGAAAGGAAGCCGAAGCTGCTCAGGCAAGAGTAGAAAAATTAACTGGTATGGAAGAGAAAACTAAGCAGGAAATAGAAAGAGAGGCTAAAGACATTGAACGGATGCGAGATAGATTAGAGCGTGTACAAGTAGAATTGCTAAAAACACGAGACGAGAGGGATGCTCTCCAAAAAGAGGTTCAAACACTACAAGTCTCGTTGGAGGAATATCGAAGTAAAGCTGAAGCTCAGATGTTTACGCAGAAGGAGATAGAATTCGCTCAAAGTGAAACAGCTCGTCTGAAGCAGCTGTTGAGCAAATCGGAAGCAGAAGTGCAACGAACATTGTCCGAAAACAGCCGCTTGCAGATGGAAGTCGAACGCTTGAAGCAAGACATGGAAGATTCGGAAACGTACGCGACGAAAATGCGCGATAGTCAAGAAAAGATGCAAGCAGAATACGACAGGATGAGAGGAGAGGTTAAAAAAATGCAAGAGAAGTTAGATCAGGCTCAGAAAGAGCTTCGAAAGATATCAGAGGAAAAGGATAACCTCCAACGGCAGCTAAAGGAATACGAAGCCGAGATAGAACGCACAAAATCAGCAGTGGGCCACGAATTACAAGAAGCTTCGAGATCGGAGATCGAGAAGTATAAAAAAGAGATTAGTAGACTCCAAAATGATCTGCAACGCATTGATGGACAGTTGCAAGAAACGGTAAATGAGAACCAAGATCTTAGAACAGAACTGGAAAGGTCTTTGGATGCCTTGGCCACCATACATAAACAGCTGGAAGACACTAACGCTGATCTGGCAAAAGCAAGGGAGCAAAACAAGCAGCTAAAGGCTGAACAATTAAAATCACAAAAATTATCTGGGAAAGCAACAGCAAGTGAAAAGGAAATTGAATCCCTGAGAAACGATCTTGAAAAACAAAAGTCCGAAACTCAGAAATTGCAACAAGAAAACCAGCAGCTGAAGAAACAACTGGAGAAAGCTCAGGAGGAAGTAAAGAACTTCGGTGTCGAACGAGAAAGATTCCAAGCTCAATTAGAAATGCTCGTTCAAGAGTTGGAAAAAAGAGAGGTAAGTAACACTAATGTGAATTTAATAAAATTTTAAAAGTCAAAATTATTAATTAGCTTTAATCTATTACTAAATGATTAAGCAAATTAATTAGTAGTTCTCTAAACTATTAGTATATGACTAAGCAAATTAATTTAGCAGCATATGATTTCTATTATCCTTTTTACTAATAACCAACTCCAACAAGAAAATAAACACATTGCAATTAATGTTATGGGAAATTAACTGATTTATTCCTTCAATAGTAGATGTATAATGTTGAAAGAATTCTTTTCTTGCTTTTTTGTGAATGTCTCGAGCGCAGACAAGGGTATATTTTTTTAATCAGTCAAATTTGTTATTATTTACAGTAACACTTGAAGTAAAGACTGTCAGCAACAGCTGAGGTAATAACATTATCGCATTTAAGTGTACGATCATCGTTGCCCTATCCAAATGTAAATTCACGGCCATTTCAGACAGTAATACTTTCTTTCATGAAAACATCACGGAAAGAGTAGAAGATTATGAATAGCGACAGCAGTTAATTTAACTGAACGACAGTAGTAAGATTTCGCAACAACATAGCTATGACGGAGAAAGAGCGTTAAGTCGCGTGATGCCGAAACGGCTTTATTGTTTGCTAAACTTTACTTACATACTTCAAACAAGAAACCTTTGAATGAAACATGGACATGAAGTTACGAATTAACAGAAGTATACAAAAATTTGGAATTAAGGGGCTAAAAATAAATATTAGTTAAAAATTAAATAATCATTAAATAAATTGGATTGAAATATTAGATTACTAAATTAGATGGTAGATAGATTTTATAAAATAATCACGACTGAGGTGTAGCAGAAGGCGTTAAATGAGATGGCACAATAAAGCCCTAGATCTACAAATGATATTACTGTCATAGAGCAAAACAACAAGCTTTCCACTATTGACGTTTTCTATGTTTCGAAATATTTTGCAACACGTTTGACCATAAACGCATGTATAACTTTGACGCTGAATTCTTTGTGTACATAATGGTTCCCAATGGTTCCATCAACAATAAACTATTTTCCGAGAATGATAGTTTGAACGAAATGGAGTTTCTCAATGTTTGCTTGAACAGTATAGCCTCAGACAAGGAAAGCATAAATAATAATAGGTGCTCTTATCGATGAGTTGTTTATTATTTATACGTCGAATGGAATTCAAGTAATTGAGAGATTACATATAGTTTTACTATAAATTTAAAGATACTATAAATTTAAAACCATCCATGCCTTCTCCTAGATTCGAACCCGGGCCCATCGGTAACGCAATAGGCAACCCTAACCCCTGTACCGTCTGGGAAGGTCTTCAAGGAATTATATGTAATTTTAAAGAATACTATGCAATTCATGTTTCATTGATGTCTTGAGATTGTAAACTTACTCACATCCTGTAGATTTCCAGTCTGATAATGCAGGACTTTAAATTAATGATTAGTATTTTACTTCTAAACAAGGAGTCTGAAGTTGACGTGTCTTGAAGAATTGAGATTAAAGTCGCAGTAATAAATTTTCATCCTCTTAGAAAATAGGAGGGCTATCTCATTTGCGTTTAATTTTGTTGCTCAAGCTTGATAATATAAACATATCTTTTCTGTTTTTTTAGGCTGACATCCATAATCTTCAAGGTCAAAAGGGTAAAATTGAAGCTCAACAAGATGCAGAAGTTGCAGCTTTGCGCAAGCAGCTGGACGAGAAGCAGAAAGCCCTTGAAGATATGGAGAGAAAACTTAAAAAGAGAAAAGAACGGTTAGACCAAATGGAGCAGCAACTGAAACAGGCAAGGCAGTAAAAAAGTCTTTTAGGATTTTATTAGTATAAAACATTTGTTTTTTAGTATTATTTACGGATGAGTATATATAATATATATATATAGTAATATATATATATATATATAGTATATATATTTAAATTTAACAAATATTCTCTATTCGCACAAAGCAAATAAAATTTAATCAAGAAATTTTAATTGCAAAAAAAAATTAAAATAATTATTATTGCTGCGAATTAATTTAAAATGTTATTTAAATTCTAAGAGCATATGTAAATTAATCGCACATATCTAAAACCATGAAAAAATATATAATTCCGAAAAAATTAAATTTATTATTCCAAAAATTGCATAAGTGAATAATTGTTGAACATGCAGGAGACAGACTTATAAAGGGGTAGTTGCCCGAAAACCTAGCTCTTCAATTACTCAATTCATCTTTCGTCATCCATATAGGCAAGAGTAAAAGTGAAATTCGAAACCAAAAGTAAAACCAAATGTTGTGAATTACTAAAAAATAAATTTAAATAGTGGAATTTTTAGAAAATAGAAAGTAAATGACTAGAGTTAAAATTAATTAAAAGTCGATTAAGAGTAAGAAACTAAATCTTTTTAGAAAACCAAAGTAATTAAGAAACTCTTGTCTATTGGAAACTTCCCCAACACGAATTATGCATTATTATATTATTAAAATAAACTATATATCACTATCAAAATATAATAATAATAATAATAATAATATATGTATGTAGATATATATATATATATATAGATTATGAAATAAATTCCTTCCCATCATCCATCAACATAGCCTCTAGAACTGTTTTTGTTAGCAGAATGGGAATCAAATGCTGGGCAAAGATGTGAAAGTTTGCCGTATTACTTGCCGTCTAGAGTAGTGCTATATCTAAAATTTTAAAAAAATACTATCTTTCAGACCCTACTAGACTGACAAGCAAGTTATTATTTTAATCTGGCCTAAGATGGCAAAGTTCTAGACAAGTTAAAATAAACTTTTTATTGACCTCATGAAACTAATTAAATGCACTACTTGAATATAACTACGCTATTTTTGGGTATTTAAAATAACATAAGCTGAAATTTAAGTCAAGTAACGTAGTCGGAGACTATATGAAAATAGTTTACTGTTCCCTGCAGATAGTCCCTCTACTCCATTGCAGATAACAAGAATCAAGTCTAACAGTCAGCAGTGGAATATCCGTCAAGACCATATAATTTTTTGTTCATGAAGACAGCAAGATGCCACTTTAAAATTATGCTAATTATTACAAAAAAAAAAGGAATATTAGCTGGGTATGCGTGATTTTCTTGGAATCATACAAAATTTTTGAAAACAGAATTAGATTCCCGATGAAGTTTTAAATGTTGCGCCACATTTTTTAGCCTAGAAGGTTATTATTTTATAACCTCACTTTAGCGTCGAATTACTTTTTTTGACAGTTTCGCTTTCCAAATAACTAGCTTCTGGCACGGCTAGCCACGTTAAATAGATATTACAAGAAAAGAAATATGTATATAATGGTTTAATAAATTCAGCTAATAATTAATGAAATAGATAAATAACTATGTTTTATTACTTTTAAATCGTTTAGCTTATTAATCAGTAACAGGCAAATTAAATGCGTGGGTGGAAAGAAGGTTTCGCAGTGTGAGGTACAGTGTTCCGTGGTGACAACCAATGTCTGGAACGCCTGGGTGTGTCATACTGGATCGTCACCATCGAGATAGATAAGACCTGCGCTCTGAAACGAAACTGGCTTGTGACGTCACGGTTAAGGGACCCTCAGCAAACATTTTGTTGGCTTTTATAAGTTGTAATTTTTTATTCATTATGTTTTAAGAATTGAATTTATGTTTACTTTTGACATCTGAAGCATCATCCCTTGTAATAATTACTAACACTAGTAATATAAAAATTGTCAGCAAAATTTATGATTATTTATTTTAATTGGAAACTAATTTTATATGAAATAACTGTCCTAAGAGGTTAAAAAGCATAGCACTTATTTCATTACATATATGTAGAATATCAAATGCAGAGTAAATTTGATTCTTGACAGAGTACTGTGTTCTTAAATTTAAATATCAATGTTTTTTGCAAATCATTAAATATCATTTTATCATGATGAAACTTAAATGCATATGTTTAGCTAATATAGCTTCTGTTCACTTTTATATATGTTATTATCATGCAATCAGTTTGTTTAAAATTTGTTATGCAATATAAATCTTTCTGAAAATGATAGAAAAGTTTCGTATGTAAGATTCATATTAAGGTAATTAAATTGCGAAACTGCAAAATGAAATTTTAAAAATGTACAGTTATTGAAGAAGCAGTAGTAATTGAATTCATATGTAGACATACTTGTTTTCATTGTATTTCAATTCAATGCAATTTAAAAAAATTTTTTTTAATTATCTTTTAAATTACAATCTTTAATTTGAGTACGTGGCACCACCAAAAGCTATGTAAGTTAAGTTAAAAATGTTGCTTACATTATACAGAAAAGTTTTGAACATGATGTTAGAATTTATATTTTCTTTTCATGTGGATATTAATAGAAAAAATATTTTCAGAACAGAGGTAACGCTTATAGTTAAATAGGTATGATATAAATATTTGCAAGGAATTTCAGTTTTTAAAAGTTTTTTAAGCATTTCGCATATTTTTAAAATATTTTCAAAAAAAATTGTGTATAATTTTATTTAAAAAACTTTTTTCCTGTCTTATTTGGAATTTTAATATTGATAGTCTTCAGAGCTATGTAATAAACATTATCTCAATTTAACTACAGATTCTGTCGAATAATTATGTAGCATTAAGAGGAAAACATTAACTGTAATACAGATTAACATACAATATGTAAGTAAGAAATAATTTTAAGACTATGGACTATTTAGTAATTTATTACATTCAGAAAAATTTCTCCGACTGATATAAGGCATTTAAATGTTAGTCTAAATATTAAGTAGTCTCTTGCATTCGTTTGATGTTTTATAATCCTGCTACATTAATATGATAGATATAAAAAATATGCAATAATTATAGAATGAGTGATAACATGTGTTCCCACTGGCAAACATTTTGTTAAAGTAGTGGGTGAAACAAAAAAATTTGATGCGGTGTGATGAGAATCAACGAGAGACACAAAGACAGTGCAGAAAAATCAAAGTAAAAATTTTAGCTACTTGAATTTTAAAACCAATTTTTCTTCAAAGAAATGATTTGCTTTTAAAAGCACCACACCATTCTCAAATAATTTTGTTTTGAAAATAAATACTAACAAAAGAAAATGAAAATATTTCATATTCGTATAAGCTTTGTAAAACATTATATTGCCGCTTGTAATTTTGTTTTAGACTGATTTTGTAGTATGAGATACCAATTTCATAGAATAGGTTTCGAAAAACGGGTGTTTAGCAAGGAAGCTAAACTGCGCGAAGATCGGTCCCCTAGCAGTGACGTAGTAACTCAGCGCGCAGGCCTTATCTATCTCGATGGTGACGACTGGACCCACTTTTCATCGCTGATGAGTACTCGATCAAATATGGATGCATTGTGGTGCCGAGTAAGCTATGACAAACGGCAGCTGTTGCTTGTTTACATCGGACAATGAGTGGGGTACCCACTTGCTCAGCTTGTATGCCTTTCCTATACGGTGCAAATGGAGTCTGATCATTTTCATTAGATACTGGAAGTGTGCAGCAAGCTCAACACATGTTTGGCTACTGAGACTCTCTGTGGTTACTCTCAAGACCTCATCGTCCAGGCTTGTGGCCGACCGCTGCGTGGTGCTTCCCTAAGACCTATCCTCTGACCTAAACTTTTGGAACTACTGCCTAGCGGTTTGTTCGTTAATGGCATCATTCTCAAAGGACTGGCAAATTCCGCGACTTGCTTCTGCTGCTGACAGGCCCACTTTAAAATATGGATGCATTGTGGTGTCGAGTAAGCAATGACAAACAGGCAGCGTTTTGTCTTTCGGATGAAAGCAATAACACTCAACAATTCATTTTATAATCTATTAACTGTCAAAACATAATGCATATTAATTACTTCTGAAAATCAATTAATTTACGATTAGAAATTATTAGAAAACTAAAAAAAATATATCCGGCAAATATTCACCTTAAAAACTGCTGTCTTCCACAATATTACTGATAGCAATTAGCTTTAAACATAACAGACAGATAATGGACAGTATTATAACTCGATTGAACATTCTGTTTTTAAAACAAAATGGCGTAGTTGTTTCAAAGTTTAAATGCTCTTTTTCAAATCATCCGGCTGTAGATTTTTATATAAAAAACGTGAATAAATTTCTAAAGAATAAAGGCCTGCTACTTTAGAAAAAATAGAATAGCAATAGAAGAAAAAAATATAGATAAACTTTCAGTTTCTAAAAGAGAGTTTGCATTATATTTTCTCTGGAAAAAATAAATACCTCTATTACTCTTAGAAAGAAAGTGTTTTATCCTGATAGGAATATTGCAAAGAGAATCCCAAGGAAGTGATAGCGGAAGAAAAACGAAGTCGGAATGTGAAACGAAGAAATAGGGAAACGAAAGCATATTTAAAATGACTTTTTGCTTCCATAAGCCAGCAGAGTATTACGATGTATAGGAAGAAAACTGATGTGAATAAACTTACACAAAAAGTTTTAAAAATAAAATTAAATTCACATTGCGCTATAAAATAGAGAAATACTCTAGAATGTATTGCAAAAAGTTTAAATATCCTTAAAACAGTTAATTGAAAGAAGCAGTTGTCTTGGTTATTTATCAAAATTGCAGAAATATTACGCAAAACTTTAAATTCCACGAAATTTTCAAAAACTAAGAAATATTTTAAAAAGCACTTCCGCTTCTCTATATCATACTGCGTGTGCTAAGTTAGTATTATAATAAAAGGTGTGTTTCGTATGCGAATGGTTTTAATAATTAATTAGCTAGTAGTTTTGTTCAACTTTTGCTGTTGCTATTATTTACGATGTTCCGTTTTATGTTAGAATTTGAAACGAAAATGAAATTTGTTCCTTTCGCTAAGCTGCTTATTTGTTGACTATAGTTACATTTACAATTTATTAATAATTTTGTATTCTGTTATACTCCGATTAAAGAAACAACACTATTTTCTAGCCGGAATTCGCTCTTTTTGGAAAATCGGGAAATGGGAGTTGCACTTTTCCTGACATCTCCTCAAAAGCGTTTTATCTATTTGAATTAATATAAAAAATTTTATATAGTATAGTAAATATATAATTTATATAGTATAGTAAATTTACCATTAAAGTTTCAAAAAACTAAAAGAAAATGTTTTAAAAATAAAACACATAAACATCATAAGATTAAAAAGAAATTGCAATTTGATTTTTGTATGTAGATATCAGTTTATCATCTGACACCATTTCAAGCAATGTTGCGATAGACCTACTAATATAAGAAATAGTCCTTAAAAATTAAAGATTAAAACATAACATTTTCCATTTGAGAAAGTTGCTCAAAATGGAAAAGTCAAATGGTAGGGAAAACTTTTGCTGTGTAAATTAACGCCACATTAGAGTTGGACAATAAAACTTAATTATTTAAGATACTGCTTCGTATTTCTTTCACTGGAGCACCACGTTTGCAACCAATCTCCTTCAAATAGTAAAACCTTTATTTTGCAAGATTAGATCATGAAATCCTTTTACTTATTGCCTTTTGTACCTACTTTATTAGTAAATCGCATAGCTTCGAAAATATACCTATATTATTTGTGAAAAAAAAAAAAAAAAAAAAAAAAAAAAAAAAAAACCGCTACTCAAAAATATATGTATATGTTTTACCTTTGCTGCCTTTGTGCTCTGCTTCGACTACAGAATTTTCTAAATTTCTAACCTAAATTTTAACGCTATAACGTATAATCATTGAAAATGTTCTTGATATTAGTATATTGTTAATACTGAAAACTTGTAAGGTAGTTTCTACTATTTTTTATGTAGGCTGAAGCTATGAAAGGGCATGCACCTCCTCAGCAAGTAGCAGAACTTCAGCGGAAGAATGCGGAAATGCAGAAGGAGTTGACAACACTGAAGGAAGAATCCAGCAGATCCCAGACAGAGCTCGCCAGATTACTTCAAATCATGTCCACCTCGGAAGAGGAAAAATTTGCCTTGAATCAACAAATCAGTAACTTGCAGCAGTATGTACCCATTCAACCTTTTTGTCTCCATTTCAGTTATATTCAGTTTATATTGATAACATTTTCTTTATTCAGCTGTACTTTACATTGTTAATGATAATTATGCATAATAAATTTTTATGAATTAACATTTATAAACCTAATATGTTTAAATATAACCTTTAACAAACAAAAATCGGAGCATCGCGAAAGGTAATGTGATTAAAATTCAACTTCATGTGCAGTTTTATTACTGACAGCTACGTTTAACGCATTTAAGTTGTACGGAATTTTCTCCGTCCTTACCGCGTGCTTTTGTGGTGTAAGTGGAAGCACGTTTGGCAGATAATCGGAAGGCTCGGGATTCAGAACCCGAGGAAGACATCGCAGACTTTTTCTGTTTCTTACTTCGATAAACCTAATAACTCTATAGAGTTTCGCAGCCCATTTCACACAAACTGAGAAGTTCACGGTAAAATGTATCATAGGGCGGAAATATACTAGTTGATCAAATGTTTGCACAGGTCACTATTTAAATCAGGTTTTCGCTGCTAGTGGACGATGTTGGTGAGCATGTTGGTGAGCTTGTGCCATTGACTTGTGCCGAATGGCACAAGCAACGCAAATAAGGCAGCGAACATCCTAGAAAAGCGACAGAACAGGAAAGTAAAAAAAAAAAATAATAATAATAAGAGAGACTCCCGTATGAAATGTGTCGCATCAGCTATCCAGTAAGGATCCTGATTGCTATTAGATGACAAGGGAAGCGAGAACAATGCTTCCAATGCTAATTTTTCTGACTCTGTTTTGTCCAGTCAATAACGTGAACAGCGACTGTAGAGATGGCAAATCCGATCAATGCAGATTTGTGCCTAATGAGGACAAACTGCCTTTCAAGATGAATAATTTAAAACACTGGTCTCTGAATATTGTCATGCAAGTATTTAGAGACAGGCCACTCAGCACATAGGTGTCGTCTTTGATGCTGACTTCAGACTTCTCTTTTACAAGCCATCTGGGATATCGCTTCTTTTGATCGCTAGTGCTCTGTCATAGCTATTTTTAACGTTTTCATGACATAAAACAATATCAACATAATTCTAAGAGCTGCTGTGTTGGCGTTTCCATCACAACATTAAAAGTATATCTTCTAACAGCAAAATACCAGGATATGCGTATACCAGGGATACGTATGATTTTCTTAAGATTCTCTTTGTATTGACGAGATACTTCCTAACCATATAGGCTTATCTCACTCCTGTACCATATAGGCTTATCTCACTCCTGTACTATATAGACCAACCATATAGGCCTATCATAGTTTTGTACAATAGATATCTAAGATATCTAATGGGGCATCATCTGGATTATGTTCCGTAATATGAAGAAATTAACCCACCGATTAAACAGCATCTACCCTGCAATCCTGCATGATACTTATCCAAGGTATTTTTCCATTGATGCTACCCCATTACAGTTTAAATAGAGGCTAGACGTCCCTCTGTTAGTTGTTCATCATGCTTAGTTTTCTTTCTTGAATAAATAATCTTTTTATTTTAAAATGTTAAGATCTTTTTTTTTTCGCATTTCTATGCACTTACGTGTTTCTGTATCCGTTGATAAATCCTTTTAGATGCTTTGATTCTTTTTTTTATTTTCGTTTGTTATAAAGAGTTTCGTTTGTATTAAAGAGTGTATTTTTACAAATACACAAATTTTAACACAATGACGTTTTTTTCACGACAGTGATTCACGTCCGTTGATAAATCCTTTTAGATGTATCGATTCTTTTTTTTTTTATTTTCGTTTGTTATAAAGAGTTTCGTTTGTATTAAAGAGTGTATTTTTACAAATTCACAAATTTTAATACAATGACGTTTTTTACACGACAGTGATTCACGGTCTAGTCACTTTATGAACAGAGATTGTTGAACGTATATGCTTATTTACAAACCTATCTTATATCTATATCTGAATATTTTCTATCTTATAACTGAATAATAAATTTTGAAATGTTTACATTATAAGAAACATTTACTTTTTTAAGAAACCCGCTTTTGCAGTTTAGAGTCAAATATAAGCAATGCAAGATTTGCTGCAAACTATGGTTGCTTAGTTGCTTGCCATCTTCCCTTGATGTTATTTCATTGCTGTACTTGCTGAGCCACTGTGACATTGAAAACGTTTTAAGTAGCTGCATCTGAAATAATTTTTAAACAGTGGAAAATAGCTGAAAAAAATAGCTAAAAATTGTTGAAATAGTTTAAAAGTTGCTGTTGAAATGGAAGTTGACCCCTGGTAAATATTGAATTAATAATTCAGTTACTGATTACATTTCGAAGTTAGATTAGCTGGCTTTCTACAATAACAAGTATCAAACTTCGGTTTTGAGCATAGAAACAAACATATATGTAGAACAATCATAGAAATAAATGACTTCATCATCGTGGTAAATTGAATGAAGAATTCAACGTAAATAGGTAATTTTCTTCAAGCCTGTAATTGCTTCTTGGCATTACGTCATTCCTACCCATAAGTTTCACAGAAACACTTTACGTTCTGACAACCGAAGAAACTTAACAACCAACATTATGCCTGTTTATTATTAAAAAAATATTACAGTCAGTCTACAAAGAAGTAAATATAGTACGTATAGAGAAAAAATCTCCTTATACGATTTCGCAAGTTCGTGGGCTAATTATATTGAATGTGTTGCACAAGCCGCTCCTTTGTCATAACAATATGACCTAAGTTTTCGCAAACACTTTCGACTTTTAGGTACTAAATTTTGAATATTTAATGGCTTCTTTTCTTCATTACTACTAACATTTTTCTGTTTTGTTTTTCTATAAGCTCTAGAATAACATTACAAATTTTTATAAGGTCCGATCACTCTCAAGCTAATCCTCCAAGACATGTTAAATACGCGACGGCTTACAGAATATCAGACTGCACTATTAGCAGGATAAGATCCCGTGTGTCTTCTGTAGCAGAAACCATATGCAATCACATACAAGAAACACCCAGTCTATCTTCAGACATCGGAAGAAACAAGTAATACTAGTTTTTTAGCATTAACTTAAACGACAATGCTATTCAAGGAATTCCTTTCGCGAGAAATCTAACAATAAAGTTAGTAAAATATTCGAAGTAAACTCCTTACAGAAAAACTGAAAGAAGCAGTTTATTTAATCAAAGCAAAGGAGTTAAGTGCTATATGCCTAAGTGAAGGGGTCCCTTCTGTGGAGGACCTTCCTAAGGAAACTGGTTCGTATACACCTTACATGGGGAAAACCGCGAAATCTCCCATGGAGCCAACCTGTCCGCCGCGAAGCGAACCCTGGACTGAGCTACCAATATTCAGCAACTTTACCGCTCGGCCCCTAGTGGGCCAAAACAACTGATGGATTAACAAGAAATCCGAAATGAACATTTTTGAACAAATCTTGAAACATAAAATTAGGCAAAGCAACAACCTTCTGTTTGGCGTACATTTTAACCAAGACTATCGATTTTGAGGGCAACAGGTGCAGATCCCTCAGCATCAAGAGAAAAGATATTTTACAAAGAAGACACATTTCCTTTCTCCTGATGATGAGAGACCTGAACATGTTGCCCTCGAAATATTGGTTAAAATGTATGCTAAACAGAGTGTTGTTGCTTTGCCTAATTTTATGCTTAACTTTGTGTGCATTCGTCTCGGTTAAATTTTGAAAGTTTCGGAAAATTTAAAATCGCAAAAATCTTCTACAGAATGTAAAAATGCTGTATGAAAACCATTGATTGATGTTGATAAAGTTGCGTGAGGAAACTACAGCCTATTTTGTAAATTTCGGCACTTTGAATGTCAGTTTGTATCCTTAGATCGAATGGTGTAATATTGAACCAAAAATACTCCGTTTGAAATAATAGTGCATTATTGCATATAACGGGCAGTACAATTTTAAATAATGTAGTTAAGAATGATTATTGAACTTGGAATAATCCTGAATTCAACTGTGAGATTGCTTGCATATTAAGTGTGGCAGTTTCTTTCCAGACATTCTTCTCTAATCTAAAGAAAACTTTATTAAATATCTAATTAAACGCTGATTTAAAGAGTCACTATGCCATAATGCACATTTTTTTCTGTTATACTTAGTGAAAACGAATTTATAAAAGTTTAAATCGAATTGGTATTTTCTAGTTTTGCGAACCGCAGTATAAACATGAATGATTTCCGCAACGATTTCTTAATATTCAAACATACTCTTTCCTTTAAAGTGAAAAATTATCAGATGCATAATAAAAGTGATGAATTGCGCAGATTTCGGTGAAGATCCAGTAGGACAACATGTCGCCTTATGAAGCATCTATCGTACAAATGATAGTTTGAGACCGTTACGCGTTTTATTCACCAATGATCACTTGTTAGCACGGATGCTTGCAAATGTTTTAGAAGCATTACATGGTTCCCTGCTTTTCGTAATGAACCTTGGGTAGCTTTGCCCTTCCAAAAATCTTTGAATTATAATACATTCAGTATTATACAGGGTTTTTCAAGAAGATGAAAGGTTAAAGATCACTTGAATTGTTGGGTATAGATCGATGACTTGAATTTAAGAAATAATTCAACCAAGATAAATCAGAAGATCATGATGATTTTAATCACTTGACCCTATAATAAAATTATTAGAAATCTAAAATTTTATACCCTAATTAAAATAAACTGTTTCGTTTTAACCGTAATTTAAAATATCTGATATCCAAGTAAATTAGAAAATAAAAGAATTTGATTTAAGTCTCTATGCGCATTATAATAAAATAATGCTGCTTGAGTTATATGTTCTAATGCATACTCTAGTGAAATATCGATAAATTGTAAAACACATTAGTAGAAGAAATTGCAAGATTGCTTTGAAAGAATCCACAGCTCGAATTACTTGTCACTAGGAAACGCTTTAAACCTGAAATCCCATAAGACAACAATGAAGTGCCTTGTAACTCTGAGACTTTGTTTAGATATTACGAAAGATATATAAATGGACACTGAACATCTTAGATAAAATTGCATTTAAAATTTGAAACAATCACGTTTAAACTAGGGGTTAATCATTTTAAAAAAAGTTAAATGCAAGTAAAAAAATTTATAATCTAAAAATAAACTATGTTCCTCGTGCGGCATTTCATGTTACTCGATTTCTAAATAGGGTAATAAGCTCATCCAGAAAGTCAATATCGTTTGGGTATTCCAAAAACGATTAGCCATTTGTTTTCATTTGTATTTTATTACAGAAAATTCTACATCCCTTAAACTATTTTTCGACATATTCACCATCCTAATTAAGGCATGTATCATATCTTGGTACTGATTGCAACATATTCGCTTTGTAGAATTCGACCGCCTGCGACCTGAGCCAGTTCTAAATGTTTACCTTGATCTCATCATCACTTGCAAAGGGCTGGCAGACAGAGAAATTTCTTGACATGAGAAAACAAATGGAAATCGGATGGAGCTAGGCCTGGCCTATAAGGGTGGTGACAAAATTGTTTCCAGCGAAATGAACCAAGAAGCGTCGTCGTTACGCGTGCGGTATGTGGTCGCGCATTCTCATGAACAAACACAATGCTCGAAGATAGTATTCTACGTCTTTTGTTCTGTATCGCGCGCCGTATCTTCTTTAATATCACACTGTAAGCTGTAGCGTTGATTGTAGTGCCTCTTTCCATCCAGCCCACTCACAAAATTCCTTGATAGTCCCAAAAGATGAAGCACATGATTTTTCTTGGAAAAAAAAGAGGTGAATTTGCTTTTTTGGATTTCAGAGAACCAATATACCGCCACTCTAATGACTTTCGTTTTGTTTCAGGAGTTTCGGAAAAAATCCATGTTTCATCACATGTGACAATCATTTTAAAAAAATCATTTCCTTCCGTCGCATAACGCTACAAAAACTCCAAGGCTGCTGCCATGCTTTTCCGTTCCGTTTCCGTTAGTATTTTCGGTACCCATCACGAACCTAATTTTTTTGTAGTGCAAATATTCAGTCATAACTTCGTGTAATAAAGACCGTGAAATGTTTTGAAAATGCATTGACAAATCCGAAATCATGAATCGCCTATTGAAATGAATTTTTTTGTCGATGCACGGTACCATTTCTTCGGTGATCAGCGATTAAACATCCTAACCCATTTTCGCATCCGTAAGTTTCTCTTATCTGACGATAAATTTCACACGATCGAACATTTCTCTCATTCTAAAACTCGATAACGGCTCTCATTTTACAGCTGGCGGGCCGATCGATTGTTTTAAACATGATCATCTACAAACAATTCCTTTAAACGTTAACGTAAACAAACAAATGGGTAAGCTAATTCGTTCTCGAGTTGAACGATGTAACTATGCTGCTGCACGACCTTCGTGCTGTCAGATGCACGAGAGATTTGCGCAAACGGTATTTATTTTCTGGATCAGTATATTTATTTTACGCAACAATAAATTCAACTGAAACACGCTTAACTATAGTTGAAACACGATATAAATCAGTATCTTCGAAAACATAATATCTTCGAGATGTTATCCATGAAAATGAGGGAAATTGATGCCGTCTCCTGATTATCCTTTTCCATGATGGGATGCAATGTCCTGCATAAAATTCACAATCTTCTGGCGTTGCTATACTTCTAAGACTGTATAAGATTTTTTATTGTGGTATTTGAAAACTCAAGTTTTCGTTCAAGATGTACGTGCCATTAATTGCCTAAAAATTACAGTTCATGAGAGGCTGAAAATATTATTCATTATATGCTACATCGCATTTCGGTGGATGACCGAATCACTCAACATCCATTCGAACAGCAAGACTGTGAGTATAGGGTTACCTATGCTGTTAGTATGCCACAGAAAACTTGACAATGGATAATTTCTTTTCCTTTGTTTTCTCAAATGGGTCATGTTTTAGAGTCGGCGGGTTTGACGAATCAACAAACATTAAATATTCATTGCCCTCACAGGGTTTCAAATTTTGGACCTCTCGATACTAGCCTTATATGCTTCCAGTTACACCATGAATGTACGTGGTAAAGGGAGGTACAGTATCTCACATTCTTTTTCACTTTAAGGACGGCTTGGGAGGAGGAGACCCACTCACCAAATCCTGTTGGTAACAAATTGTCAGTTGACCACATTTTAGTTTGGGCATCAGTTTAAAATGATTTTAGAATTTTTGGATCCAGAAAAATGAGACAGCTTGCAGTGTCTTAGACAGTATTCCAACTTCGGACCTTCTGACTGCTAGGAAAAAGTGCATCCAATTACAGCACAAGCTACGTGGTTAAAAAAGATAAAATACCTTAAAACATTCTTTGTAAACCATTGTAAAAGCCGCTACAGTTGCTGAATAAGTAATTCTAAAAACCCAGATGCTTCACATGAACGCATCTAAGATATTGCCAATGCCAAGTCAGTGTTTATTGCAGCCTAATAAGTGGCAAGATCCGTGGCTCCTTTTTCTTTGTCAAGCTGTGTCAACTTTAATATGTATCTGTTCATGCTACGAATCTTTTTGTTTCTTCAGATCGAGCTAATGGAAATAGAAGACGTTCGGTTGCAAATTTTTTATGAAGATGGAGCAACACCCAATATGAAAATCAAGTGCCCGACGATCTAAATCGAAGATTTCCAGAGCTTGTATGGACAGAATGAACCTATCTCATGGCCTGCAAGAAGTCTTGATCTTACCACACTAGACTTCTTTCTCAAGAAAGAAGTTTATGATGAAATAATTGATAGCTTTAACCAGCTCAAGAATAGAATACTCAAGGAATAGCTATGCTAGACGCTAGACGTTCTCGTCAGAGTATAGAATTGAAATTGAATATCATCATGACGTCTGTCATGATGATATTAAAATTAATTTATTAATTTTGTTTGTGATCGTTTTGAGTGACTTATTTAAATACAGGGCATTTCATTGCATTTTATGAGGTCACGTATTCACAGAGCCGTCAGAAAATCCCCCCTTTCTTCTTCAGAGATCCGTTATTATATAGTCAGTATTATGAATATATATCTTGTCTGTATTATTTAAGCATGTCTACTGATTTCTCCATAATGTAATCTTTATCTAATGTATACGTATTAAAATCTAGTTCATATCTTTGATTTTTTTCCTATAATGTAGAGCAAATTGCCAAATTTCGGCAGGTATCGCTTGGATTCTGGCTGCTATCCTTTTAATTAAAGTAACTGTGTTATTTCTACTATTTTAGAGCTTTGAAAGAGAAAGAGAGTCAGTTGAATAACTTGCGGAGAGGGCAGCAAGGAGGAGGAGGATCTCAGACATTGCCAATGCCAATTCGTAGGCCAGAACCTGATAGCAAAGATCCATCAAAACAACCACAAGTAATTATTCAATTTTTCATATATTTCCATTCCCTAATTTTAATTAAATTAACGGTACTTTCTTTGTTAAAGCGGCCACACTCTATGAGCTGATGGACACATTTAAATTTTAGTCGATGTGGATTGGGCAATTTATATTTGGCAATTTAGGCGACGAAACGCTGTGGCCGTTTTAACGAGAAATTGCCAAACTGATTCTTAAAAAATGTAAGTACATTATAAATTACAAAGAAAAATGTATGAAATGCCCTATGACCATTTTAACTCCTCCCTTCCCCAATGAGGGATTCTAGCCGTTTGTAGGCATTGGCCACTACTGCGGCCGGAAGCGGTGGTCTCTTTATTATGGAGACACCCTATAGGTGAGCCACCGTTGCCTCCTAAGAAGAGACGGACAAATTATTTTCATTCCTATCTGGGCGGCTTTTAACGTTCGTTAGGGATAAAATGAGTTTCTTTCTGTTATGTAATATTAACACTGATCAAATTATACCTAACTTAATTTCAAAAACTAGGAAAAACATTTCGATCAGGAAATTTTAGATTACAGTCTAACATCTTGAAAAGTTTAACGTCAAAGTTTCGAACGGTTAACAAAATATTTTGCAATTTTAAAAGTATAAAAATCATAAAGTTAGAAAACAAATTGCCGCCCAGACGGTACAGGGGCTAGGGAAGCCTGAATGCGATATTGAAGAGCCTGTGTTCTAATCCCAGAGATGGCATGGTTGTAACTGTCCGTCCCTTGATAGGAGGCGATGGTGGCCCACCTATTAGGTGCCTCCATAATAAAGTGACCATCACATCTGGCCTTGTATAGATTAATGGACTGTGTAGCACTGGAACTGTTCACAATCTGCTATTGGAAAAAAATGCAATCTAATCTCCAGTATTATGATTCTAATTTAACGGTTAAAATAATTTCAAGCTGAGCAGTGTAAGTATTCATCCCAAAGAACTCAAGACATGGATTATAAAATCATACATGTAAAGAGAGCTGTTAAAAGTGACAATGACAAATGTAGGATTAAAAGCTTGATATGACATTATTTCAACACAAATTGTCATCACATTGAGACTTATGTGCTTATTTAATAAAGAAAAGGTTTAATAATTTCTAACAATTCTTCAATTTTCTTTCCATTTTCTTCTACTTTGCAAAAATACGAAATTCTAGAACTAAAAATAATTAACTCATCATGAAGTCTTCCTTTGAGGTGTTAATAAATCCTCACACTTTTTAACTCGGAAATAATTTTATATATTATTGCTGTTAAATAACACCTAGAGCTGTGGTTTGAAACTGGCGGCCCACTAAGCACTTTTATACGGCACGCGAAGACGTTTCAGTTATGTATTGGTTGCAAAGAGGGAGTTTGTTTCGTAGATTTCAAGATTTTAAATACTTGAAGTCAGAATTTGCATCATTTTAATTTCCATTAAAAACGAGCATGAAAAACGCATTAGAAAATCTATAAGTGGAGCTTATTAATTTATAATGTGATGTAAATTTTATTCAAAGATTTGAAGATATAGATTTCATTACCTTCTATTCGTACTTGTAAAAATATAAATAATTTCAGTTATTAATTTTTGTGCTAAGAATAATCGCTCTGTTTGGGAATACACTTATATGTGAACAGACTTTTTCACAATTGAAAGTTAATAAAAAAAATGTAATAAGAAAAGAAGTCTATAATCATTCACATTCAAATATACGTATTTTTTATGAGTCGAAAACGAATTTCGAAAATAAAAGAAAGACTAGCTGGCCATTATTTATTCTGAAGTTTTGTTTCACTTGGCAAATTTTCTCTTAAAACTTAGAAAGTTTTATATATATTTTTTTTTTAGTTTAAATGAAAATAATCAATTAAAAATATAAGTATTATTTGAAAGAAATGTCAGTCTAAGCATTTAATATTTAGCTGCCAATGTATTTGAATTAGAAAGTGTAACCAACAAAAATATCTTGCAGGTGCCAAATATAAAACAAATATAAACCTGGTTTCTTTTTTCCTTGTGCTATATTATTAGTATTGTTTATGTATGTTTTGATAAATATTTAATAAGTTTAATAAACAGTTAAAATTTCTTTAAACTATTGTTTATTTTGATACCAATTTTTTTCATTTTGTTAAAAAAAACTGCCCGCCACCTGTTTTCAGGTCTTGCATACAACCCACGTGCAATTTAAGTGTGAGACCATTGACCTAAAGTACACTAAAATGGAAAGCATGCATTTTAAAAGCCTTTATTATTTTCTAACATTTGCTTGCTACTCCGCGTACGTTTATATCATGTATTATCATGTGACCGCTAAAGTTATCATTTAATTTCAAGGTTACCTGAAATTACCATTTACGATTTTAAAGCAATATTATATGTAAAACTCAGAAACAATTTTTCAAATTTAATTTATATTGGATTAAATACAGATCTAGAACAAACTACGTTTAAGGATTATATTTTTTCAAAATTTCTGCTATTCTTCTACATTTGTAAATTTGCAGTTGCATTAATGAATTTCTTTTACTTTTTATGCAGAGTTTATTAACTTTAACATTGTTTCTAGTTATTGGTTTCTGTCGAAAGTAACATGGGTTTTTGTCTGCTTTTACGGCAAGCAAACATTCCTCGTAATGAAAACGATCGGAATCTATTCCTTGCTTTTTTCAGAATATTTTCTTCACGTTTGATTCCCATTAAAAGCTTACCGAAGGTACTGTCAAAGAAGTGCAATGATTGTCGTTCAACAGTCAAATCTTACTTCGAAAGTTCTTTGGGATTAATGTATACAATGTAAGCTAAAAGGACGAAATCAGAAATAAGGCAACACAAGATATATAAGAGATATATGCCATTGGTTGCATCCTCAAAATCTATCATGTAAGGAACTGGTGATAGCATTATATCTTTGAATGAAATTGGCTGAAAATCTTAAAGAAAATAGTGACATTTTAAAATTGATTCACAAAGCTCAAGGAGTCAAGAAGCTTTTAAAAATTCAAAAGTTAAAACGTTGTTATGTAAGCCCGTTTTACCATTCACAGATTGCAGGGTGATATATCGAGATTGGAATAGAGTAAGTATGCGAAAAATTACTCAGTTTCAAAATCTCAGAACTCGACAATCTGTGTAACTCCGGACTAGTAAGTAGACACCCTAAATTACCGTCTCCTATGGAAGTCATTACTTGCATCAAAGTGATTATGGAAGTAATCATTTTGCTAAAAACAGAAAAATTACCAATACGTTATGACATAATGAATGAGATGAGTAGCTGAACGATGTTTCGAGGAACAAATCATGCCTTCTTTAGCAGCTAGTAAAAGAACCAGTCGGCGAAGAAGTGTCTCACAAAACAGGTTCAGCTTCTCTTCTCATCGATTATATCATAATAGTGAACAATCTTATCTCATTTTATCGATTTAAAAAATAATCAATCTCATCTAATCGATTATAATAATAATTAATTCCATCTCATCAATTTAGATAATAATCAATCTCATCTAATCGATTAGGATAAAATAAAGCACTTTTCACCGATTGTGATACAGACGATGATATCTCATCGATTATATCATAATCATAACCGATGATGTAAACATTTTACCAAACTGTTTATTTAAGTTTACCTTAATTGCGACTTTTGTAGTCTAATAAGCCTACTGTATTCTCGTTGCTTAAAGATGTACTAAAACATGACACATATCGAAAGACAAAGAACATGGCTAATTAACTCAGACGGTAGATTTAATAGAAAATACTTTTGCCTAAGAAATTAGCACAGTTATCTATGTATATATTATTATTTGTTTAAAAATGGCTTTTATATACTTGCTTAACATCAGTAAGAATTTTAAGCAAGCAAAGAATTTATTTAAAATTTCCTGAAAAGGATTTTAAGAAACAAGTTTTAAAACTTAAGCTGAAACTGTAAGAGTGAAATTAAGATACGTTCACTGGATTTAAAACATTTCTTCAGATGTGATTAAAAGTTTATTTTCTAGATAAATTGCCTTTGCTTAAACAGATTGTAAGTGGAAAAAAGTAAAAACAGCAAATATTGATTAATTTTAAATCAGCATAAATTTTAATCATATCATTGATGGTAATTTAAGTGAATCCTAAGAAATCATATCGTGGTTGTATATACGATTGGCAGTAACTGTTTTCTTGATTTATTACAGGGTGCAGGACCGGCCAGTTTCTTCTCAAGCTTCTTCTGATATGTCTTGAGTTGCTCTTTGCACAATGGACCATACTTAGTTCCAGCAGACATTATTTTTCATTACCTACGGTACTGCCATGTGAACAGTAGCGAATATCACTTTACGCCCCTGTTCTATGTTTTTACTTCTTTGTTATAATATATATATATATCACAGCAAATAAAAAAATGCCGCATGTTGGTTGTCAAATCATCGGTGCCTTCTATATTAATGATATCTTTGACGATGGCTCGAGTCCTGGAGAGCATATACTTCCTCCTTCAAGAAACTTCCTCTTACGTTTCAAAGACACAGTCCTCTTGTATCCATCTATGGCTCTTGTTGCTTCCTTTTTTTCCGTACTCAGTGTTTCTATGTCTGGTACCAATGTCGTCTCCGGACCATCCTGTAAATGTGTGCCAATTTTTCTCTGTCACACTCTGTCCAGCTGCACACGAAGCCAGCTGTCGTTCCTAACATCCGTTTTCTGAAGAATGTAAAGATCATGTGTTACCCAAAGAAATGGGAAGTGTCTTCTTTAGGTAAGTGCAAAGCTAATTTAAATCGAATACGCTGTTAATAAACTTGTAATTGGATTATAGGTGAATCATCTATGAATGAAGAATAATAAAGATACTAGAAAATGTTTCTGTTTAAGAAAATTGTATGAATGAACGACAAGTATAATAATTAAAGAAATAATAGAATCTTTAACCTCAAAACATATCATTACAACAAGTGTTTTAAATATCGTTTAATGCTTTTTTTTAAATTTTTATCATTAGTCTCTGATATGGAGTACTTAGTAGTCAAGATTTAAAGTTACATATTTCTCAAGATTACTGCAAGTTAAAAATGTGGGTACATCATAAAAATAAATATCTTATTTATTCGCATAATTTTTTCTCGTCGCGTAATGTTTCCCCTCGTTTTTGCGGCATATGCTTTAGAAATGTCTTATTTATGGTAACTGTGTAAATCGTATACCCAAAAGGAAAGTATTTCGTGTAAGAAAAAGAACATTATTGAAATTAATAATCTAATAAAAAAAAGTATTTAAAAGAATTTATATTTAATACTATAGTGTGTGTCTTTATGTGTACTTTTAAATGTGCTATGTGTATCATTTAAGTCATCTCTTCAGAAATATTACACATTGCTTATTTTTACTCAAACGGTTTTCAAGCAGTAAAATTAGTAAAAAAAGGGGTGGAGATTGTACGAGTATTCATGGTATTGTGCAAAATAATTTTTCCAAATTCTTTTATATGTAACTAAATATTTTGTGTACACTGTTTTTATGAAAATGTTTCATTATCCAATGTAACATTACACGATATTTTGTAGCTTAATTATCTCTCGAATGGGCATAAATATAAATGTATAATTCATGCCTAGTAGAAAATGCATCGCAGAAAATTTTAAGAATTATAGTCGAAATGAATATTCTATATGCATTTCGAAACATAAAAAATGTAAATATTTCGATGTCATCTTGGTGAAAATATGAAACATTTTTGTGCTAGTAGATTTCAGTTTGCTTAAGTATGGAATACAAAAAATTAAGTAGCTTTATCAGTACGAAATCCATGGGTTTCAAAAATATATGCAAGAATATCAAAGTATGTTATTGCGGATATCAAAATGTTTTAGGAGTGCATATGAAAAATATCTTTCTAAAAAAAGTTCTCATAAAATATCATTTCTAGGAATCAACATTCTCAGAATTCAATACTTTTCCTCAAAGTCAAAAATATTTTCTTTCCCACTGAGAGACGTTTTGAAGAAAGAATATTCATGTATTACCTCTTGCATGGATCGAGATGCATATAATTCGGTTTTAAAAGTGAATTTTTTAATTAACAGCGAATTTCGCGAAATCGTACTTCCTTTTGTTGTCCTGTATTACTCGTAGTTTACCTTTATTAATTTCAACTATTCAATACCAAACTCAAGTTTACAAATCTGTTTAGCCCAGATATGACGTCAATGAACGTTGGCAGAATGCCAAAATTGAATTGTCGTGGACGCGTGGTAGTTTTGGCTTTACGCCAATTTTCCTTTTTCCTCTCTTCGTAGACAGCAGGATGACTTTCGATTAGTTATCTTCAGGTCTGAATGTATTTCACCTAAAATATGACTGTGAAAGTTGTACATTTTCCCAGTTTACATATTACGACTGATTTGTTATTAAAGTCCGCTGCTTAATTTTACAAGGATATTTTCACATGCGAGTTCATTTAACAGTTTTTAAATGCTATTTTCACTCTTCGGTATTTTCTCCAGAATATATCTCGAAGAAGAGACCAAATGCTTTATTTACTGTTTCATCCCCCAAAATAGTTAAAGTTAGACTAATGGTTCGAAAAATAGTATGCGCTTATAGTATACTTGTAAATAAAAACTAACCCCATAGTATGTTTATTTTATAGAATTCTATTCATATATTTGCAAGTTATACACTATAAACACAATAACAAAATTTTAAACTTATCTCCACCAGCGTGAATAAGCCTGGCATAATATTCTGAACTCGACGCAACTTTAGGAGGAAAACTACCGCAAATTCAAACACAAAGGTTTTCTCCTTTTCAACGCAGCTAATTTTCTAAATATATTTTACTAATATCCGCAGAGGGGGTAGCGGATTCCATTTCATTCACCCAAAACTCAATTTTTGTAACGCAATAGTATCGCAAAAGACGCAAAAAAATATCGACTCAAAATAAATCTATAGAATATCATCCGCTGTTGCCATTCCAGCACTGCCAAGTGTTTTTTCCTGCAGCTGTTGCCAGACTTATCTTCGCTTATGTGAGAGGTACAACATCCTCCCACCCTAATTTTCTCAAAATCAGACATTGCACAAAATTTTCTAACATTACTAATAAAACAAAACAATACTATGTATTAGTTTAGAAAACACATAAAGAAACTCGGATTAACATACAATATATATGACAGATCATACTAAAATGAGATCAATAAAGAATAAACTTTATTAAAGTCATTGCTAAAGAAAAGAGGATTGTACATTATGTATTTAGAGCATGTCCTTGGTTTTAAGAGTCTACCGTATCTAGATCTGTTTTTTTCAGTTGCCAGAGTTAGCACAGGATCACTGGTAGTTGAAACTTCTAGTGGATACAGTTTTTTGATTGTTCTTACCAAATATCCACTGCTTGTTTTTACCTCTAATATTCTGGTAGCCTCATCTCTACTACTGAATATTTTTACAGATATGCCCATTGGCCACATTACACGTTTTTATGGTCTAGTTCTATGAGGACTACGTCCCCCACCTTTAGGTTTTGACATGAAGCGCTTGCCTTCTGCACCAGTTGAGCCAGGTATTCCTTGCGGCAGCGACTTCTCAGTTCTTGTCTCAACGTATTGCAGTAATTTACACGCACATTCAGTTTCTGGTAATCGATGTAATCCAGGTCTGGTACCCCCCCACTTGTTTAATGTGGATTCAACATCACACAGGGCGGTCGGTACCTCTTCGAAATTCACCGACGATCTCCCTAGAATTCGCAAGAGAAGAGTCTTGGTGGAACGAACTAAGTGCTCCCACCCTCCCCCCACCACCACGCAGCCGTAGGGGGATGAATTTCCATTTTATTGGAAAACACTCGTTTTCTGTGATTTTTCTCCAATACAGGCATCTCAGAGCATTGACTGCTCCGGTGAATTGGTTCCGTTATCTGAATACACTGTCGCAGGACGGCCTCGTTTGGCAATGAACCGTCTCAGAGCCGGTAGAAACGTTTCGGTACTCAGAGAGGTGATAGGCTCCAGGTAAATTGCCCGGTATACGGCGTAGGTGAACAAGATCCAAGCTTTACTCTTTGGTCTCAGAAGTAAAGGTCCACAAAGATCGACTCCAGTTGTTTCAAAGACTGCCGAATCTCTTATTCTGTCAAGGGGTAACTGGATCGGAGGGGTAGATAAAGCCTTAGCGGTAAATCTCCTACATACTACACATCGACTTACGCAAGATCTTATATTACGTTTCGACGAAATGATCCAGTATCGCTCTCTTAACTTAGCAGCTAATATCTGCACTCCCGCATGACAGTCCTTTTCATGATACTCTCTTATGAGGCATTCAGTTAAATAATGCTTGGACGGAAGCAACAGGGGATAAAGGAAGCAGAATTCATCATCACGTTCAATGATTTTAGTTTTAACTCTGAAGACTCCGTCGTTGTCTCTCACTACCAACAATCCATGGACGGAATCTCCTTTCTCTTGAAAGTGCTTCCTTTGCTCTAAACTCCACAAAAATATTTCGGCGTTAGTTTTTTTCTTCTACTGTTAAGGTATCCGAAGAATACGACGGCTTCTTTAGGAATTTATTAGTAAAGCGTAGAACCCAGCAGAATACTTGAACTATTTTAGAAAAACTCGAAATACGTTTGTATCACTCAGAATCTTCTAATTTTATACTTAAATTGACAATTAATCCCTTCTTAATTTCTGCTGCAACAGAATTTTCGTCTGGAGTAAACTCAAAGTCTGGCCATTCTTTCGGAGAGCTTTTTCAGAAATTCGGGGCCCTCCCACCAATTGCATTGCCGCAAATGTTCAGGCGTTACAGCCACGAGATGCCACATCTGCCGGATTCAATTTCCCAGGGATATGTCTCCAACATTCCTGCTTCAGGAGTTTCCGAATCTCCTTTACTCTATTATTCACAAATACTCCCCAGTTTTCCTCTCGTTGTATCCAGCTAAGAGCCACAGTAGCGTCTGTCCAGTAATATATCGGGACATCGACTAAGCACAGGGTTTCAACAGTATACCTTGCCAAGCGTGCACCTAGAACACAGGCTAGCAACTCCAAACGCGGAATAGTTATTTTCTTTAAGGGCGATACGCGTGATTTTGCTATGACGAATTTCACGAAAACTTTGTCTTCTTCCTTACTTCGTAAGTAAATGACAGTTGCATAAGCGGCTTGACTGGCATCGCAAAAGACGTGTAGAGTCCATGAATCCTTAATTCCATGACCCATGCGACGAGGTAATTTAAGGCTGGAAAGACTAGGCAACCTTTCGTACCATCTCTCAAATCTTGTTTGAAGTTCATCTGGTAATGGCTTATCCCAGGTCGATTTTGTTGCCCAAGCCTCTTGAAGAATTAATTTCGCAGGTAATATGACGGGCACAAAGAAACCTAGCGGGTCAAAAACAGCATGGATTAGAGACAATAGTCTCCTTTTTTGATAAATCTCTTTTAACGATTTCTCTTTGGACGGATATTGTAAGGCTGTCATCTCGTCGGTCCCACTGCAAGCCTAGAACTGCGGAGACTGGATCACTATCTTCAGCTGCTAGCTCTTGATCACCATATATTGATTAAAAGTCCACATTCGAAGATCCATTTTGGCTTCTGCCATAATAGTAATCGACTGGCTCATAAAAACCTTTAGCTCTTCGTTATCATCGACTGACGTGACACAATTGTCAACATAAAATGATTTCGCAAGTTTATTCGCATCATCTTTGAATTCAGGTGAAACGTGGGACAAATGAAAT